GGATTACCCCTCGTTAACATATAAATGGTGCATCATAAATGCTCAATTTTTTGTATTACAAAATATCTTCAATCATAAAGTTATTGCTAGTAATCTAAAAATACACAACATTATATGCTAATATTGAAATTATAAAAAATAAATAGAATATACCGTAAAGGGGAAATATTTTTATTTATTTTTTATTTTTGCATTTAAAATTGTTATGTAAGACAAAGTTGCATACTTTGTTCATGCATGTCGATCTTAAAATAATTGGCCGTGATGTAGAATTTATTATCCCCACTAAAAACATAATTGCTTTAATTTAAGTAGAAGCTTATGCTGAATCAAGATTCTCTACAAATACGATTAGTCTGTGCCTCTGTGGCAGCCTGAAACCCGGTCCGAAAGTGGCCCGTGGACAAGCACAACAAAAAAAAACCTGCAGGTCGTGTGCTCGTGTAGGCTACATGTGGCCATGAAAGTTATTGCGGCCCGTGACTCGGGCTGGCGTAGGCCCAATCCGAACCAACACACCTCAACGACCATCCCATATGCTGTACCACGGGCCATGTTGCAGGCACCCTAACCAGTATCCCGGCCTACTCCATGATGGAAATAATTTGGTCCAAACTATATTTAGTAGTCCATTTTTTAAATTTATATAGCATTACTCTTATAGAATGAGTTTGGGGACAAGTTGCGAAGTAAGATGGACCAACTAGCAATCAGCTACGGAATTCTCACAGTTTTGTCCTCAAATTTATATGCAGTCATGGTTGTAAAAAGAGGCGATGACAAGAACGTTAGTAACTTAATCACATTAAATTTACAATATACTTCACTATTAATTGAGACCCGCTATTAATTCAATTCAATGTGTATAATGCATTTCATAAGCAAATAAAGTCTGCAAATAACATTTTCCTTACATATTAAATGCACCTGGAATTCCATATAGTAAAAGCTTTCAACTTTTAACACTCGCAATGATTTTCGAAAATTCATTGAGGAATACTATATGTACAAGTTCAACATAGCTTGGAAAGTAGAATGTGAAAACTCATTTGGGGTTTGAAAAAAAAGTGGGTAAATTGGAAGCATAAGAAGACCTCTCAAACTACATAAATAATTTTTAAAACCTAAAGATAGCTCAAATAATAATAAGGACGAGTTGTAAATTTAGATATTTTGAGTTTGAATTTTAGTAATTCCTTATACCTAAGTTATGAGAGATTTATCTCTTATGAATACCCTAGTTCTGGCATGGATGACCTATCTTTAACTGAATTAAAAAGAGAACTAATCGAGGTGTGCATAAACTGATCAGAAGACCCCCAACCTTATAACCAACAAAAACAATATTTGGGCAGGGTATTTGGTCCATTGGGGGGACTAAGCAGGACTCCTGGTCCAGGTTAAACTAGGACACATAACAATCATATGTTTTATGCTATGAATCGACTTAACTTTTACAATGAAAGCTCATTGCCCGATAGGGCAGGGCAGAACAGGACATGATTAGATGCAATGACTAGTGACCAATGACTGCTTATCATTTTCTCTCTTTTATTGCAACGATACAGGGGAAATGGAGAGTCTAGCCACTTACCAGATGGTAAGTTGAGTTGATCTTAATCCGTATTTCAATTCGTATTCAACAAAGCACCTTCCATTTCTATCTCATTTCATATACTATGTAAATCATGAGTCTCAAGTGTCTCGATTTGTCATTAAATTGGTCGGAATTTATTTGCGTTCTCAACCTCTTTTTTTATTTAACTTTCATATGTATTGCACGATATTAATTAATGATGCGATCGATACATGTCAATGTCGTCCGGATAATTGATACCGAGATTTTAAAACATGGAAGAAGATCAATTATAGTGGAGCATTGGTCAAATTCTGATCAAAAATTCAATAGGATTGAAGATATGTATATTGTTTGAATAAGATCCAATAGAATGGTTTGAAAGTTATTGAGCTTAACTGGGATTATTCACCTAAGAAAAGTCTCATTAGCTGCATTCAAGTTGATCAAGTCAAGGTTGGCGGCCAAGTCCATAGCCTCTTTTTTTCCCACTAAACAGGGTAGTTGTTAGACCTCTTTAATTCTGGTGCAATCCATTGCTTCCATTAATATTTGACGTTTACACCAACGGATTTGAAGGGTCTATGCCTCCGTTTATGAAACACGAATACGAATACGAATATGAATATGAATATGATTACGATTACGAATATGAAATATGGATATCATATAATATGGATACGACGATACGATAAAATCTAAAAAAATAAGATACGAGTCCAGCCAAGATACGACTATAATAAAATATATTTAATATATTTATTATTTTTAATCATCTTAATACTTATATATTTTAGTAGTTTTTTAATATACAATAAGAAAAATTATTAATTTTTTTAAGTTTCAAAAAAATATATATCGTATCGTTATAGTATATTCACAAAATGAAGTGATTAATTAAAAGAATCAAAACTNTTGGGCAGGGTATTTGGTCCATTGGGGGGACTAAGCAGGACTCCTGGTCCAGGTTAAACTAGGACACATAACAATCATATGTTTTATGCTATGAATCGACTTAACTTTTACAATGAAAGCTCATTGCCCGATAGGGCAGGGCAGAACAGGACATGATTAGATGCAATGACTAGTGACCAATGACTGCTTATCATTTTCTCTCTTTTATTGCAACGATACAGGGGAAATGGAGAGTCTAGCCACTTACCAGATGGTAAGTTGAGTTGATCTTAATCCGTATTTCAATTCGTATTCAACAAAGCACCTTCCATTTCTATCTCATTTCATATACTATGTAAATCATGAGTCTCAAGTGTCTCGATTTGTCATTAAATTGGTCGGAATTTATTTGCGTTCTCAACCTCTTTTTTTATTTAACTTTCATATGTATTGCACGATATTAATTAATGATGCGATCGATACATGTCAATGTCGTCCGGATAATTGATACCGAGATTTTAAAACATGGAAGAAGATCAATTATAGTGGAGCATTGGTCAAATTCTGATCAAAAATTCAATAGGATTGAAGATATGTATATTGTTTGAATAAGATCCAATAGAATGGTTTGAAAGTTATTGAGCTTAACTGGGATTATTCACCTAAGAAAAGTCTCATTAGCTGCATTCAAGTTGATCAAGTCAAGGTTGGCGGCCAAGTCCATAGCCTCTTTTTTTCCCACTAAACAGGGTAGTTGTTAGACCTCTTTAATTCTGGTGCAATCCATTGCTTCCATTAATATTTGACGTTTACACCAACGGATTTGAAGGGTCTATGCCTCCGTTTATGAAACACGAATACGAATACGAATATGAATATGAATATGATTACGATTACGAATATGAAATATGGATATCATATAATATGGATACGACGATACGATAAAATCTAAAAAAATAAGATACGAGTCCAGCCAAGATACGACTATAATAAAATATATTTAATATATTTATTATTTTTAATCATCTTAATACTTATATATTTTAGTAGTTTTTTAATATACAATAAGAAAAATTATTAATTTTTTTAAGTTTCAAAAAAATATATATCGTATCGTTATAGTATATTCACAAAATGAAGTGATTAATTAAAAGAATCAAAACTAATATTTACCTAGTATTTAGAAATAATTTTTGCTAAGATAATAATGTAATAGCTTTATTTTATGCTCTTTTGACATGTAATTATAGATAATATTAAAGAAACACTGATGTGTCTTTGAAGTAATATGAATTTTTTGTTATTGTATTGTATGATATGTGAATTTGAAAAGAGATGTTAAAAGTTCAAATAAAAAATTATATATGTTGTTTGACTACAAAAGTATCTTTGAAATATCTTAATATTTAATTATTATCGGATACGTAGAAAATATATCCGATACATATTTTCGAATATCCGACGAGTATCATATTTGATACGATATTAAATACGAGTACGTCAATTTCAACGAAAAATCTGTGCTTCATAAGCCTCCGTTGACAAAGTTTTCTTATCAAAGTATATTTCAGACAAAGTTCCATATGGTTGATTGATTCCAACAATTATATGCCAGTGAAAGGGAAATACGAGGATTGAGAAGTTCTTGGAGATGACTCAAAATCGAAGTAACCCTTGTTAAGAAGAAGAAAAAAAATAAAAACAAATTCTAGTATGGGGCCCTCTGGATACAAAGTACAGTGCAAGGAGCAGGTGGATCCTTAGATGGAGTAAGATGAGCTTCACTTGGTAAGAAATTCAAGACGCTTTGGCAAATATTAAAAAACAATTTAGTTGATGATTTAATGTTGTAGTACCAGCCATCCATTTAGAAGGTATTGATACATGATAGTTGTAATGTATCTGAGGAATAATATCAAGTGATACAAAAGAAGGTATAGATTAAAAAAAACAAATTGAATATGATAATAAATTTAGATCATTGCGAAAGTGGCATTAAGTGATTCGAGCGAGAACCGTGATTTAAATGTAACAAAGAATGGAAGTTGAACAGAAAAGTATTGATTCAGGCACGACTCAGACATATTTTTTGAACCATGATTTAGTCTCCTTTTGAAGTAAATCCCATTTGTAACAGATAAGAAGGTTTTAACTTGAACCATTACTTCCTCTGTCCCCATGTGTAACTAAACACAACTTTAATTAAATGATTACTGGAACTTCCACCACCAGCAGTACCATGGTGCAGAGGAGGCACTCTATTCTAGAAAACAATACACAAACAAAAAAAAAAGGAACTGTACTTCGAGAAATATTCATATGGTAAAGAAAGCTACTTTCAAGCTAGAATTGTGGGTTAAGGTCTATTTGTATTGGTAACATCAGGTATCTTTGATTATTTATTTCTAAGCCTTCTAATATATACATGAAAAAAGAATCAAGGAATGTAGAAAAAAGATACAAATCAAGTTTTCTTCAACTTCTCTCGGTTTCGAGTTTTTGATATAAACCCTTTTTTTTTTTCTTTTTTCATGATGACGAGATTCGAATTTTGACGGCTTCTTTGTTAGATGCAGATCTAGTCATTTTTGCTGTTGGTTCTTTTGCTTGGTCCAGAAGGTGGCACCACCACTCCCTTGGGAAGACTACTCAGGAACAATGGTCCAAATCTCCCATCAAGCTTCTTAGCTGCCCGAACTTCCATTACAACATTCTTGTCGGATTCCATGTCACATGGAAGAACATTCTGACCAGAAACCTTCTGCGACGAAACGTCAACGTTGTCATCTCCGGCGAGGACTAGATTTAACAGGGGTTCAGTGGCCGGAAGGCTGTCTGGGTTGAGTCCATTCAATGGCCTCCCTGATGAAGATTGACATATGAGGAGGAAAAGGAAGAGAATTGCTGTGAAGTGACAGAGGTGGTTGGGTTTGGCCATTGGAGAAGTGAAAAAAAATGGAGCTTTGGTGGTGGAAGAAGGGTTGGTACTTGAAATTGAAGATGAGAATTGGTGTTGGGTTGTGGTTTTGATGGATTGTGTGAGACTTTAAGGGGGGTTTTATATAATGGTTTTATGGGCTATTTGGAGAAATGGAGGTGGGGGAGACAATTGTCAGCATTTGAAAATGTCAGCGGTTGAAAGTCGTGGCTCTGGCTCCGGGCACGCGCTTTTTCATTTTTCTTTATTATTATTATTTTTTTTTTGGTAAAAATGACATTTTAATTCAGACACTTTTTCACTTTTTACCCGTTAGGGGCAATGGTTTGGGATGTCTCTCCAACGGCGGTGTTAGGAGTACAAATCGCACGTTCGAATTTTATCCCTGAACTCAAGAATTTTAGTTGATCTGAATTCTTTTTTAGGACAATCTAATAGTCATTATCTCTCAGTACCTGTGCGGAGCTTCGTCCCACATCGACTGAGAGTCGTCTCTTCCACCCCTTATAAGCCTGAGCCACTTAAGAATGGATATCCACTAACCACCCATTTCTGCTCAACAAAAAGAAGAAGCAAGTCCCAAAATCCTACTCAAATGGTTGAAGCTCTTTATAATGGAGCAACAGATTGGTAGATTGATAGTTCAAGTCTCTCTTTCTCTTTTACTCCTCCTCTTCCGTAGTGTAAAAAATATTATCCCTATCAAAAAAAAAAAAGTAAATCTTTATCTTCTTTGCGAAAAGGATAAAAGTAGACACAAATAAGGTTATCGTATTTTATGACTTTTTTTATACCAAAAAAATTATTATTTTTTGTGGGTGATTTATTATTTTTATGAGTATTTTTAATATTTTATTTGCACTACAACAGTAATAAAAATGTCATAAATGTTGGTATGCTACCTACATTTTATTTTTCGATACCATAGACAACTCCCATTTTGTTACAACCAAAACTTAAAAGGAAAATACTATATAACACAAATTTGCATTCCAAATGAACAAGGATCACTGGATGAGTGAGTCTCATCAACTTTTTAAAATGGAAACCACTGAGTCAATCGTCCTGATTGATGTGAGATACAAATTTGAAGGATTAATCTTAAATTGCACCCCAAAAGATTATTTTAATCTCAATTTACACCCTTAAAGATCAACTATTTCAATTTACACCTTCAAAGATAGAATATCGTATCAATGCGCACTCCAAATTAACAGTAGTCAGTTTACCGTCTAAAACAAAATAGATAAATTATACCTAGACCTCACATGCTTGTTACTTAATCATCTAGATTTTTTACATTTGAAATATTACACTTACAACTCTTGAAAATTCAAATATGACTAAAAATGTTCATTCAATTTGGCATTCAAATAATTCTGTTTAAATAATTTGGGTTACGTGCTCAAACTTAAAACCCATTGCAAAAATCAAAAACTTGCAGCTCATTCAGTGTTAAATTATGTTAAAATTTTACAATAATATTATTTGAATTGAATTTACTCACATCGTTTTTGCCGGTCTATTTTAGAATTCACTATTAATCCTAATGATAATAAAAAATAAATAAATTTAAAACTTAAATCAACAAATTAAATTTCAAATATCTCCCAAACAACCCTGAATTGAGTTGGGCCCCACTTTAATTATAAAGAGCGTGCAGCTAACAGCGTTTGGGCAAATATTTGCACTGGATCTGCACGTCTGGCACCTTGACTCTGTGGAAGTGCCAACTGGGAACTTTTCCATACGCAGAACGCGTTAGACCGGTCGGTGTCGCGCCTCTGATCTGAGTAGGAGGAGAGAGGGTGGACGAAAACTTCTCCCGCACGTCAGTTGCTAAGTCAATAGCCCATTGGGCCGTGTTCAGTGTAGAGATATTTAGGTCAATTGTGTGTGTGCGTGTGTGTATTGTTGTTTTCTTTGGTTTTTTTTTTTTCGTGTG